TAATTTGCACCATTTGGGGTCTAATTTTTTGTAGCTCAATGTTATATCCTAAATAATTAATGGAATATCCTCTTTGTATCTTTTCAGGAGCAATTTGTAATTCCCAGCAAGACAAAATTTTCTTTACTATTCTGGCACTCAAGTCAGAGGCAGATATACCTGCACCTATCTTTTGAGTTTTGGGGTTAAAGTCATAAGACAATACACCTGGCTTGTTAGTTATTGTTCATACATTTTCTCTCATGTGTACTCTGTACTGTTCATCAGTTTCCTTGTTTCTATGTTTGTTAATAGGCATTTCTCTTTTAATGTGGTATCCTATTCAAAGGGAACAGAAATGATAGAGGTTACCCTCCTATTCAGGTCAAACAGAATTCAATGTGGAAATCCACTATCTGTTATTCTTCCTTTACTAGCTATATCACCTGCCCTTCTGGAAACAAGCCATATTTTCTTAGGTATATGGAAAACATAACATACCTCATTCTTATACAATTAGAAGATATGTAGCAGTCTCCACATTAAGTATACTTGTTGAATTTGATTCAAGTATGGAAGTAATTGATTTTCTATCTTCATTGTTAATATATTAACAAACTCACACTACAGAGAAGCCCTATGAGTACTAGGACTGCTTAAATAAAACATGGGTGTAAAAACAATGATGAAATCTTAAGAACTGATTCCTCTTTAAATTTAGACCAAATTGTAAGTTTAATTCATACAGAAATAAAGAGTCAACAGTATAATGATTATGGTCAAGATTTTACATGTGCTTGCAAGCATGAAAGAAGTCAAACTGGAGAGAAGAAACCTTTCATATATACTAAATGTCGTAAAACCATTGTATATGAGAGTCATCTTCAAAGGCATGAAAGTGCACCTATGGGACAGAAATGCTTTCAATGTAATCAGTGTGTTAAAGCCTTTGCCAAACACAGTACTCTGCAAATACATAAAAGAGCCCTTACTGGAGAGAAAACCTATCAATGTCATCAATGTGGTTAAGCCTTTGCATATCACCAAACTCTTCAAATGCATGAAAGAACACATACTGGACATAAACCCTATGAATGTAATCTATGTGGTAAAGCCTTTGTACATCACAAACATCTTCAAATACATAAAAGAATTCATACTGGAGAGAAACCCTATTAATGTAATCAGTGTGGTAAAGCCTTTGCACAATATGCTCATCTTCAAAGTCATAAAAGAAGTGGTTATCTCAGCTATCTGGTTCTCCCTGCCCTCATAACACATGCTCCCAGTAACCAAGGAGATAGCCTCTTCAGGCTTATTCACAACTACAGACTCAGAATTCAACTTGGCTGCAGAGTCCACAAACCTGTGGTTTTACAAGTCAGGAGAAAATTTCCATAGTTCACAATCACCCCAGTCATTTATAGTTACCCCAAATATCTTGACAGGTCACTAACCGTATAACTATTGATGGAGAAGACATATAAGGGCAGAACATGGTCACCAAACTCAACAAGAATCCTCACTGACAACTCAGGACACACAGAGCAGCTGGGAAGTGTAGTGGGTAGCCATTCCAGCTTGGATCTAGAACGCTGAATGGTGAAGATGGACTGTGCAGAGCTCCGGAGAACACCGCTGGACTGTGATACACCTTCCCCAGAGCCCGCGACCTACCTTTCACTTAATTTGTGAGTTA